TTGAAAATGCCAAAAATCTGCATTTTCGTTACTTGATTTGTAGCTAAATGTCATATGTATCATGACAGTCCAACAAATAATTTCTGTGTTATTACAGCTACCCTACCATTTGGTCACTTATGAAACCTACTGTGCTCTGTTACTTAAAATTGTTCATAGCAGTACTAGTATATACTTGTTTACGGAAGAAAATTACATGCTGAGTATAGTTTTAATACAAAGAAAACGAATGGCAAAATTTGCTTTTTTAAAGATCAACACATTAAATTCCTGAGTAGTTTGCCATAGAGATAAATAAAAAGGAGAAAAGGAAAGATGGAACAATTAAAAGGCAGCTAACAAATGCCCGGACCCAGCTGTCCAAACAGGATTAATGGCGTGCATTAGGGCGCAGTGGTCACGTGCTCCGCCCGGCACAGCACGCACGCACTACCTGTTATGCCAGTGGCACTGAATAGATGAAAAGGAGTAAGTGCACTGAACAGAGTCACAGAGGCTTTTCACAGCGTTAAAAAAGCAAATTTCTAGACAAAAAGAATAAGCTTTATTTAGTATTATGGGAAATGCAAACTTGGGAGTTACTTTGTAATTCCTCGGTTAACTCTTTAGAAGTGAGTCTTTGATTTTAAGAAGATAAAATATAGGGAATTGTCATGACTATTATCCTACAGTATAACGGGACTTTGATTTCCTGGCTGAAAAGCTTATCAGACCAGAATAGAGGGTGTGCTTAAGCACGGATTCCAGGCTGTGGCGTCTCCTCTCTGTCTCATGCCTCCCACAGGGAGAGCCTGACCCCAGGAACTCAGCCCGCAGCAGCCCGCCACTCACAGTTAAATGAGACGCGAAGCAACAAGGAGCCTCATCACCTCCATTACTTGCAGCTCTTCTCTTAGTTTCATAGTTTTAAGTGATGATTATAAATTCAATTATAAATTGAAAATATATTGAATCCTGTATAAAAAATTAATTTGATGTTCTGGGAGGTTTTTTCTTTTAAATTGCCAACTGCTACTGTTGCTGTGTGGTAGGCATAAACTGTAGCTTTAGACTTACATGTCTGGTGTGACATGACACTTTTATTAAGAAATTCCTTTGGAATAGCTTCTTATATTTGAATATGGAAAACTGCACTAATTGAAAAATTAGTGCCAATTATGCTAATTTAAAAGTGACCACTAAGTGGATTTTATAAGCATATCACTTGCCACAAGGTCTGTGAAAAAAATTTTGACCTTTTATTTTCAGTCAAATATAATTAATATAGATGATCGTTTTGTCACTTATAGGAAACTCGAGACAGCTGTGCTTAACATTGTTTATTTGAACTCTTTGCGAGCGAGTAATGACGCTCCTGGAGTTGGTGACCAGACTGGCTGGCTGCATGGTCAGACTTCAGTTTTGAAGAATGCAACATCTGGAGGATTTGGTGGCCAGATATTCAGTAAACAAAGGGCTCTCAAGGTGATTAGAGGGGATGGTTGACAGGTGAAATTAGAACATGATCAGGCCTAGTAAATGAACTATGGATGCCTGAGTTTTCTATAATAAAATATTTTAAAGGTAGCAGAGCATTTTGTAAGAACAGATTTTGTCTGGTTGCTGACATGTTCTTTTTTAAAAATATATATATATTTTTATTGATTTCAGAGAGGAAGGGGAAGAGAGAGAGAGAAATATCAATGATGAGTGAGAATCCTTGACCCGCTGCCTCCTACTGGGGATCGAGCCCGCAACCCTGCTATGTGCCCTGACTGGGAATCTAGCCATGACCTTCTAATTCATGGGTTGATGCTCAACCACTGAGCTGCACCTGGCCGGGCTGACATATTTTTTATTATGCTCAATCAAGAAACAACAGAAGGATTGACATTTTTTGCACTCTTTATTTGAAATCTCCTTGAACCAGAAAATTTTTCTCAACTGTAACCAAAAGACCTTGTAGTACTTCTCCTAATTTCTATTTTAAAATTATTTTCTTCATTCTGAGGTTCTTTCTGTGACTTGTTAGTGATGCAGGTTCCAAATGCAGATTTAAAAAGTGTGCTTGTGGTATGAACACAAAAACTCGTACCCTTTTGAACCAACCTGTTATTTGTATCCTGTACCCATATTTCTCATCGGGGTCTCATACAGGAGAACAAGTGCATTATTTGCTTTTGTTCTTTGATGAAAGAGTCCTGTTTCATTTCTGTCCTTTTGGAGAGGTTTTCTTTTGGGATTTTGTAAATATATTCCTAATTTTTACACTGGGCCTTCTTTCCTTCTCCAATTCTCAGTGTGAAATAGAAGTATAAATTATCGTAATTATGACTTTGATATAGAAATACTTTCAAACCTCATATTGAAAATTTCTCAACAAAGCAATGTGTATATGACTTAGTCATGGTCAGTTATTTTGTAGAAAATAATAAATGAGTGGTACTGATGAACTTTTAAAAAAAAATTTATTGCCAAAACCGGTTTGGCGCAGTGGATAGAGCGTCAGCCTGCGGACTGAAAGGTCCCAGGTTCGATTCCGGTCAAGGGCATGTACCTGGGTTGCGGGCACATCCCCAGTAGGAGATGTGCACGAGGCGGCTGATCAATGTTTCTCTCTCATCGATGTTTCTAACTCTCTATCTCTCTCCCTTCCTCTCTGTAAAAAATCAATAAAATATATTTAAAAAAATTTTATTGACTTCAGAGATGAAGGGAGAGGGAGAGAGAGATAGAAACATCAATGATGAGAGAGAATCAATGATTGGTTGCCTCCTGCCTGCTCCCTCCTGGGGATCGAGCCCACAACCCAGGCATGAATCTAACCTGGGACCCCTCAGCCCGCAGGCCGATACTCTATCCACTAAGCCATACCAGCAAGGGTACTGATGAACTTCTGATTGATTACTAATGTCCTCATGTCTGAACAGTCAGTTTGTATATCTAGTTAGGATTTTTAATAAAGAGGCAGTATTCTGAGTCAAATGTTATCCAAATAACTTAGCCATCTGTTGACACACAACCAAATACCTTAACTTTTAGTTTGTTATAAAATAATTTTCATATGAAAATAATTCCAGTTAGGATTATTTTGCTTGAAGAAGCCTTAAGATACAGTTTTAGAATGTTAACAATTAAAACTAGACTGTGAACTATAGTGAGGGACTAATTTGTACCAAGAATCAAGAGTGCTAACCTGGCTGAGAATATGCATAGTATTGGCTGCCTCTTGCATGTCCCTCTGGGAGATGGAGCCCACAACCTCGTGGTGCATGGGGTCAAGGGTCAATCACTGAGCCACAGGCTGGGCGTTATGGTTATTTTTTAATTGACCATATTGCTATTTATTTTCTATTTGACCTGTCTCTTCTTTGTTCCCCTCTGTTACCCTTTATCTGCATTCTTACCTATTTAGTTGGCCTACTTGCTATAACTCCATTGTATTACTTGGATAGTTGTTTTATGGTTTATAGTATACATTTTATTATTATTATTTATATTTTTTTTATTGGTTTCAGAGAGGAAGGGAGAGGGAGAGAGAGAGAAGCTCCCACCCACCCACGCTCCACTGTCTTCCCTCTGAGATTCTGCACTCTGTTCCATGCTTCCATGTCTCTGAATCCACTCCGTTCAT